TGGGTGGTTATTGCAGTGATCTTGTTTCTGCTGAGACCTCCTAATCTCAGAGGATCCAACCTAACTGGAAAACCAGCCAGTCCTCATAATGTAAGTGTTGTGGATTAGAGATCTGTTGGGGTGGGGCGGTGGGCGTAGCCTTGAAGGGGTGGAGTTGTTTTCACTGAAATATCTAAATTAGCAAAAGGAAGATTTAGCTCATAGAGTAAATTAAATTCTTCCTGTGTAGTCCCAGTAAGTCTTGCAATTTGAAATGGCTTAGTTTTCATGGAGTTACACATAAGAGAAGTACAGACCAGTAGCCCCCACATCATTTTAAGATGAATTTCAATGTTTACTCACAGGCGAAACATAAAAAACAGTCCAGTTCGTAATAATCCACAGTGATAGTTCTCAAATCTCAGTCCTCCAGCTTCTAGTTCTGTCCGCCTCACAGTTGATTCCTTGCCTCTCACGTCCCAAGGTTCCTAGATACTCTTACTAGCTACAGTTCAAATGTCCCCACTTGCACACGTGCATGCACACATACACACACTCACTCACTCATTCACTCTCTCTCCATTTTCTCCCCTTCTGTCCTAGATGTCAGATATAGCAGAGACACGGAGCCCGTCTGGCTCAACCTGCTTTCCCATCCTATTTCGCTCAAATTCATTCTGACAGTTCTACCTCACAATAGGTCAGCTGAGCTGGCGAAAGGAGTGGTAGGAATCATTTATATTGATAAATCTTGATAGTCACGATTATAACAATTTTTAGAACCTAGATGAAAAATATGATAAAGTGACCCAACAGGGAGTTTTTGATTACTGTCTTTAATAGAGCCTCCATTAAAGGATTCTTTTTAATTGTTTTCAGAGCCAATATTTATACTTTTTTTCTTTCTCATTTGATTTGGGTATTATCTCTTTAAAACTGTTTCCATGGTGGACTCACTTGTTGGACACCAAATTATCCCACTAGTTCCCTCCTTCAGCCTAAAATAATTGCTTCTTTCCCCTAATCTTGTGTTGCTAATATTAAAAAGAAGTTTAACTAGACCAGTTGCTTATATAGGAGAAAGCAAATATGCAACGTTAATTGGTCAGTGCTTTGGGACTGGAACATTTAGATACGTAGCATGCTGACTTTAGTTAAGAAAGAAGCCATCCAATGTATGACAAAAACTACTGCAATGATGTAAAGTAATTAGCCTCCAACTAATAAAAATAAATGGAAAAAAAAAAAGAAAGAAGCCATCATTAGCACTATATAAAATGCCTTATTTTTAGGTTTTCATGGAGAGGAGTGTATCCATAAAACAGCTTGTATGTTGTCTTGATAAAGTGCTTTCTCCCTAGGCTTTTTTCTTTCTATGTACAGTTTTGTTACTTTCGTATCAAAGAGCAACATGCTCAATGTTTGGAACTAAATTAGAAGCCATTTAAAAGTGACAGAAATGCAAGATTACCATCCCCTGATCCTTAGTTCATTGTAGACCAGCAGTTCTAGCAATGGTAGTCCCACAGCTCTAGGAGTAAGCATGAAGACATATTGACCAATTCCAAGCAGAAAAATTGATTATCCTCATCTGGGGTTTCATATAGCATATCAGAGTAATAAATAAGTGGAATCTTCCTAAAGATTCCTAAAAGCTCTGCTCTTGCCTTTACAGTTCAGATGCTTTCTGTTGCAAGTAACAAAAATCATTTCAGCCTGGTTTAAGTAATTGGCTTTATTGGTGTACATATCAGAAAATCCAGAGGGAGGGTCAGTGTTTAGAAAGTTTAAACAGTTCATTAGAGACTTAGTTTCTTTTCTCAGACCATTATTTATCCCTCAGAAAATCCAGAGGGAGGGTCAGTGTTTAGAAAGTTTTAACAGTTCATTAGAGACTTAGTTTCTTTCCTCAGACCATTATTTATCCCTCAGAAAATCCAGAGGGAGGGTCAGTGTTCAGAAAGTTTTAACAGTTCATTAGAGACTTAGTTTCCTTCCTCAGACCATTATTTGTCCCTTTCTGGTCCCTGTAGGGCAGGTACCAGTAGTAGCTGGAGCCACATATTTCCTCACTGACAGATGTTCTATAGAGAGAAATACAAGTCTTTAGCTTCATTTTAATTGTACTGTACTCAGTCACCTTATTAGCAAGAAGGATGAGACTACCTGAATTGGTGTAAGTATCACCTCTGGAGCTGTCAGGGAGAGCACTTTCACCTAAGTCAATATCACTGTTACAAAATTTTCTTTTCTTCCATACTACAAAGAAGAAAGAGACAAATGTCGGTGAATCACAGTGCTCTCTTGTGCAGAAACATAGGAGAAGTCCAAATAAGTATATGATTTAGGATGGGAAGCTGAGGGCCATTGCTGCCCAGTTCTTACTACGTGTGTTAGATTGGTTGCACTGGGAAATTTAAGAAGTCAATTTCATAATTTCTTTCTCTCTGATGTCAGGGACAAGATCCACCAGCCCCTCCTGTGGACTAACTTTGTGGACATGGGAAGTGAAAATAGTTTAACACCTTGCACGACCAAATGAACGAAGATGACCAGAGTACTCTTAACCCCATTAGAACTGTTTCTTCTTTTGCATCTGCAGTGTGGGATGGTATTGTTTTCATGAGCTTCTAGAAATTTCACTTGCGAGCTTATTTTTGCTTCCTGTGTCATCACCTTTCCTATATTTGAGTAAATGATTACATTAAAAAGTTACATGGGGCTTTTTTGGTTATCCTAAACTTAAACATTCCATTCGTTCTGTTTGTAACTGTGATCATAATTTTTGTGGTAATTTCTGGCCTGATAGAAAGAAATTTGAGATCTCTACATTTAAATATTTTAAGTAGTTTCAATGGGTTTAAAAATTGTTTTTTTAATAAGGTATTTATAAAGTTATTTGGGGTTACCTGAGATTGTATGAAAGGAAATTAGAACCACACTGTATTTATATTTACCTTGGTAGTTGTTTGTGGATGGCAGTTTTCTCTAGTTCTTAGGACTGTGACAACTTTTGGAATATTTTACAAATTACAGCTGAAATCTGTATCATCCACTACAGATGATTTATGTGACTAAAGAAAAGGAGAAAAGAAATGAAATAACAGTTTACTAAGTTTTTATTCCCATAAAATGTCTAATATTAAGAAAACTTTAAATAAACATGATTTAAATATGGTGGATGACTTACAGTCCATTATATGAAATTTGTAAGCCTCTGCACACTAGCCTTATTACACAGTTCATGAAAGGAGGAAAAAATTTAATTCTTTCTACCTTTGCTAGGTATAATCTATACAGTAATAATTTAAGCTATAACTTATTTTTAAAGTGGGTGCCTCTCAGGAAGCTGCTTTTGTGTTATAAACTTCCCTGTTAAATGAACCGATCTTAAAGCTCTCTTGGGGGCCTGCTTGGTTACTGACATTTGAATGCTATTTACTTACTCTTTTTTTTTGGGGGGGGGGGAAGAAAAAATTTAGAGTCTTGTTATCTTTCTGACTTCAAAAAATATTTAATGAATTCTTGGTTTACTCCAAGGGAAAAGGAGGGAAGTGAGAAACAATCAAGGATATTTTTTCTCAACCTCTGTCTCATTCTTGTTTGGTAATAGGGTGGATTGGGGTGGGGTGGGGAGGAGCACTAATATAAGGAAAATTTTGAAATGTATAAAAATGTAAAAGGTTTCATTTGTTTTTGTTCAGTTTGAAAGAAAATGAATACAAATGGCATAAAAAGTCTGCATGACCTGTGTGGTTATAGAATTTTTTTCTAACAAATGATTGCAGATGATTTATGGGGGCTAGAAGATATTTTGCTGTCAGTGTAAGGATGCTCCCTCTCCCAGATCAGTTTAGCTTTTCACTGTATAGATCTGAGAAATTACTTGTATGAATTGAATAAACTTCTCTATATTATTGTACTGTTTAATAGAGTCTCTGATACAATTACGTGACACGCGTAGGGTATTTTTCTCCTTTATTAAGATTCTATTCTAGGCTGTAAACACTGTAAGGGCTTCATTTCGTTATATAATCCGATATCGAATGCTTGCATTCCTCCTGTGCATCTTGGCTTTGTGCTCAACTTTTCTTGAAATAAAATAACCTACTGTTAATTACTTGTGTTAATCGAGGGGTATCATAACACAGGTAAGTCAAATCCTGGGTAAAAGAACACCATAGATTTTTCCTCTCAATATGGCCTATTAAAAGCCTTCTCAGCTTCATAGCTTTTAAAGCAGAAAGGGTAGGAATGGCCTAAGATGGAGCTGACCCTTGTAATCATTTCTTTTTCTGCCCTTGCCCCTGAACTTTGAAGGCTGGCGCATATCTTGTAACGGTCTGCTCTTTAAGCTGCTAGAAAGCTAGTCTCTGGAAGAGATAGTGATGTGTCACTGAATCTGTGGTTCACAAAGAACTAAGAATTGACTTTGGGGAATTCCCTGGTGGTCCAGTGATTAGGACTCCATCCTTTCACTGCCGAGGGCCCAGGTTCAATCCCTGACCAGGGAACTAGGACCCTGTAAGCCATGTGGAGTGGCAAAACAAAAAAAGAATAGACTTTGTTTGAAGGAAGTGGCTGTGACCTGGAGACAATATCTAGTAATAGCTAGAGACCTGGAAATCTGGGTTCTTATTCCTAGTTCTTCATTTCTGTCACATAGACTTAATTGACATTACATTAGAATATTAACCTTTTCCTATATGGACCATCTATTTAATTAATAACAAAAGTTCTTAGTGAAGTATTTAGTCTTGGTTTTTCTGCTTGTACAATTTCCCTGCCCTTCCAACAAAGACATTATGTGGTAGCACATAAGGTATTCCTTTTAACCTAATTAGTAATTTATATTATTCTGTTTTATCCCTAAAGCTTCTACATGTGGCCTTTTTATTGAGCACACTCTTACTCATTATTTGGCTTGTAAACATTCACCTAAATATGGCTACAATAATTTTTAAATAGCCTGGAAAAAAGCTTCACATTTTAATCACTTTTGGCTCTTAAACAGCCCACAAATGCCATTAATAGTTTATTTTGTTTTAGAGTTATTTAATGTCGTTTTATGCAAAATAATGTTTGTTTTGTTTTGTTTTGCTTTCCACATGGAAAAAACATTAGAACTGTGTATTGTAAAAGATTTTATCATGTGTCTATCCAAACACTATCCCATGTTCAACAAGTCATATTTTAATTTTAACTACTTGGAGAGAGTTTCTAAAGTAACTATTAACTACAGCTATTCAGTGGTTACTTTTAGTGTCTTTGTGATATGCGATGTTACAGTGTTTATAAATTATCTATATCTTATATTTTCAAAGGAACCTCAGAAGTCTCACACCCTGAATCAAAGTCTGTCACTCTAAATGAATATGTGCTAAAATTTGACCAGCTCAGCTTAAGACACAAAACAGCAACTTGAGGAGAAATCGAGAGAGTTTAAATTAATGGGTGAAATTTTTGTTGTTGCAATAGTAGGTTTAGTCTTAACTTTATAACATTTCTAAATGAAAAGTCATATGTATTTGTTACTGTGTCTGATGATTACTTTGTTAAAAGCAAAAGTGGTCATGTGATGTACCAAATGTTAACTGCTGTTTTTAAATGTTCAAATCATGCCAAACAAATCATGTCCGTGCCATCCAGGGTTTATTGTAATCTTTTACTGAGTACTTGGATTGGGAAAAAGGGCTTGTACTATGCACTTTTTATTAATGAATAAATAGAAAACATTAGTAACACTCACTGTTTTCTGTTTGGTTTTTGTGGCAAGAGAAAAAAAAATCTTTTGCCTAGTAAAATGTTAAAGTCCTTTATTAAACAGGTTTTTTTGGTAAGATTTTTTTACCCTTAACTAAGACATTCCTAAGCAAAAAGAGCTTTGAGTTATGAGAAGAATATTTATGTAACAGCAATCTGGGGCCAGTATTCAGAAGTAAGGATTCTAAGAATCTCTAGGAAATTGGGTTGAAATTACATTTCTTTTGTTAATTTCTTCCTAGAATACAGGTCCAGTAGACATTTGCTATCCAATAGTGTTAATTATATGAGCAGATGTATGTTACCCAAAAGGAGCTAGACATGTAAACTGTTCTGAAAACACACAAAAGTGAAAATTTGCTTTTGCTCTATGACCTGGAAATCATCCAGATACTAAAGACCAGGGAAGCAACTAAGTGTTCATTGATAGATGAACAGATACAGATGTGGTATACATGGAATAGAATATTATTCAGCCATTAAAAAAAAAAGGAATCTTGCTGTTTGTGACATAAATGAATCTAGAGGATATTTTACGCTAAGTGAAGTGGGTCAGAAAGACCAATACCATATGATTTCACTGCTATGTGAAATATTAAGAAAATGAAAACAGACAGATAAGACACAACAAATGGGTGGTCACCAGAAGGGAGAGAGCAGGGTGGGCGGTGGTGTGGGGAAGCGGGGGAGGCAAAATAGGTGAAGGAAATTAACAGGCATAAATCTCCAGTTGTAAATAAGTCACAGGGATATAATATACAGCATAGGGACTATGGTCAATAATAGTCTACTAACTTTGAGAACAGATGTTTACTAGACTTGTGATGATTTCATGTACATGAATGTCAAATCATTACATAGTATACCTGAAACTAACATAATGCTTTATGTCAACTATATTTCAACTTAAGCAATCCCAGGACTGGGACCTGGGTACTATTTAGAGCTCTGGTTGAGAGAGGAACCTACAAAATAGACTGAGAAGGAGCATCCTGTGAAAGAAGAAGAAAACCATATGAACATAGTCTTGGAAACCTAAAAAGAAAGCAGATCTCTAAAGGGAGGAGGGTTCAGTAGTGTTTAATTCTACTGAGAAAAAACGTGGAGGTGGAGAGTTGAACGTTTTGACAAAGGATTCATAGTGAACTTGAGAAAAGGTGTTTTGTTGGAGTAATGATGAAAACCCAGCATGGAGTAGTTAAGGAAAGAAATCAGGGTAAGGAAGGCGACTAGTACAAGTGGCTCTTGGGAGGGGTTTCCAGTGTTTGGGAGCAGAGAAATGCAGTTGTAACCTGAGTGCGATGTGGGTCTGGGCAGGGCGTTTCTATTGCTGTTGTTTTAAGATGGAAGATAAGAGTATGTGCGGAGTTGTCAGGTGATACCCAAAGAGACCCCTCCACAGTGATGTCACCCGTATTGGCCTCTGCGCCAATATCGTCGTGTCTGACAGCAAGACTCGCTGATTACGTGTTTTTGCCAAGGCTCCCTACTCTCTCCCTACACTCATGGCCCAGCTGTGGTGATTCGCCTTAGAGACTACCTCGCTTAATTCTGTCGTGTCCTATACCCCTATTTATATTGGCTTCCACAAGTCCAGGACTCCAAGGCCATCATCATTCATTCCCCCTCAGCTGATTCAAGCTCATACCTTTCCTCATGCCCCAAACCTCCTAAACTTAAGGGGCATCATCTGCAAAATGATATTTTCAACCCCTTCTCTGAACATTCCCTTCCCCAAAACATGGTGTTTCCTTAAGGGTGCTAACTCTTGCCTCTTGAGTGAGAGCTCTTTTCTTTCCCAGATCATATGACCCAGGAATGGAGACAGTGAACCTCTTCCCAGTTCCTCTTTTGGACAGCCAGGCTGTCCTCCTCTCCTCCCTATAACTCTCCAACTCTTGAAACTCATGCTGTTAGAGTGTTCTACCCTAGCTTTCACAGTTATTTATAGACCTCTGCATTACTCCTCACTCCTTGAAGATTTTATTTATTTTTTCATTTTTTTCCATTTATTTTTATTCGTTGGAGGCTCATTATTGTACAGTATTGTAGTGGTTTTTGCCATACATTGACATGAATCAGCCATGGATTTACATGTGTTCCCCATCCCGATCCCCCCTCCCGCCTTGAAGATTTTAGCACTGGACTTTCTGCCTCTCTTCAGCATTCTTCTATGGTGATTCTGGTGTCAGTATCCAAGAAGACAACCCTTTCAATACTCAGCCCCCTAACATCCTCTAGTTACCTCATTTTCTACACACCTGCAGCCATCCACTCCATTAGCAAATCCTAGATCTATAATTTTAAACTTTATTACTTGTATATTCCTAAGAGAATTTTGAAAAGTGGCATACTATCTTAAATGTTTTTTTTTTTTCCTTTCAGAACTCAATGCAAAGCAATCTTGATGCTCTTAACATAGGTTCATGTGTCCCTCCCACTTCAGAAACCGTACTATTGATGTCATTTCAATTCTTTTTTTTCTGTGTTTGGCCGAAATACACAAGGAGGCAGAAGGGAATCTAAGCCTTGATTTGTACCTTTCACCTAAACTTACTTGGCTTCATGTGTGAGCAAACCAAACAGAATCTCTACAACTACCTTCATTTCTTTTAATACAGCTGTTCAGTAAAGCCACGAGTAACAGCAAGATTATAATGCAAAAACTACAAGAGACTGTAAGACTTGCAGATAAAACTTGATAGCTTCAAAGCATTCAGATAGCTGCAAGCCCAGCTGCTGTCCTTCATGCCAGAATCAGTGTGATTAAACACCTTGGAATGTGAAGTCAAGTGGGCCTTAGGAAGCATCACTGTGAACAAAGCTAGTGGAGGTGATGGAATTTCAGTTGAGTTATTTGAAATCCTAAAAGAGGATGCTGTGAAAGTGCTGCATTCAATATGCCAGCAAATTTGGAAAACTCAGTATTGGCCACAGGACTGGAAAAGGTCAGTTTTCATTCCAATCCTAAAGAAAGGCAATGCTAAAGAATGTTCAGACTACCGCACAATTGTACTCATGTCACACACTAGCAAAGTAATGCTCAAAATTCTCCCAAGTGAGGCTTCAACAGTATGTGAACCGAGAACTTCCAGATGTTTAAGCTGGATTTAGAAAGGGCAGAGGAACCAGAAATCAACATCCTGCCAATGTCTGCTGGATCATAGAAAAAGCAAGAGAGTTGCAGAAAAACATCTGCTTCATTGACTACGCCAAAGCCTTTGACTGTGTGGATCACCACAAACTGTGGAAAATTCTGAAAGAGATGGGAATACCAGACCACATTACCTGCCTCCTGAGAAATCTGTATGGAGGTCAAGAAGCAACAGTTAGAACTGGACATGGAACAAAGGACTGGTTCCAAATTGGGAAAGGAGTACATCAAGACTGTATATTGTCACCTTGCTTATTTAACTTATATGCAGAGTTCATCATGAGAAATGCTGCACTGAATGAAGCATAAGCTGAACTCAAGATTGCCAGGAAGGATATCAATAACCTCAGATATGCAGATGACACCACCCTTGTGGCAGAAAGTGAAGAGGAATTAAAGAGCTTCTTGATGAAAGTAAAAGAGGAGAGAAAAAAAGCTGGCTTAAAACTCAACATTTAAAAAATGAAGATCATGGCATCTAGTCCCATCACTTCATGGCAAATAGATGGGGAAACAGTGGAAATAGTGATAGACTTTATTTTCTTGGGCTCCAAAATCACTGCAGATGGTGACTGCAGTCTTGAAATTAAAAGACACTTGCTCCTTGGAAGAAAAGCTATGACCAACCTAGACAATGTATTAAAAAGCAGAGACATTACTTTGCCAACAAAGGTCTGTCTAGTCAAAGTTATGGTTTTTCCAGTAGTCATGTATGAATATGAGAGTCGGACCATAAAGAAAGCTGAGTGCCAGAGAATTAATGCTTTTGAACTGTGGTGTTGGAGAAGACTCTTGAGAGTCCCTTGGACTGCAAGGAGATCACATCAGTCAACCCTGAAGGAAATCAGTCCTGAATATTCATTGGAAGGACTGTTGCTGAAGCTGAAACTCCAATACTTTGGCCACTTGATGCGAAGAACTGACTCATTTGAAAAGTCCCTGATGCTGGGAAAGATTGAAGGCAGGAGAAGGGGACGACAGAGGATGAGATGGTTGGATGGATCACCGACATGATGGATATGAGTTTAAGCAAGTTCCAGGAGTTGGTCATGGACAGGGAAGCCTGACATGCTGTAGTCCATGGGGTCGAGAAGAGTTGGACATGACTGAGCGACTGAACTGAACTGAACTGAAACACCTTGGAAATTTTCGAGAATGTCTCTGACTTTAGTCAATGCTTAGACCATTTTAAGTTGACATTTAATATGTTTTTAGATATGTGAGTATAATTTTGTTAATAAAAGTATTAAACACCATATAAGATGAAACCTCCAAGTGGAAAAAGTACTGTAAGATTTGATATAACTAAGTTTAACTAGTTTACTGAATAAATCTTTTAAATTCTATCCATGTCAATTTTATCCACTACCTCTTGCTATTTTTTGTAGTCCTGCAAAATATTTAAATTGCTTTTAAAATATTCCAAGTTGCTAATTTAAATGGCATCTTTTTTTTTTTTTTTGGAATTCAGAACATGTCCAGAATTGTCCTGTTTCTAACTCTGAACTTCACCCTTAACAAAAATAAATATAAAATGAGGAAAGACAGGTTTGAAGTGTCTTGATTAATCAGTATAAGGGAGTTTCCCCAAACCAGAATTCACTTGATCCCTTTGTTTGGCACCCAGAATTTTATCCCTGGCGAATGGATCATAGTAAGGGTTTGTTTGGATAAAAGGTAAGTCTTTCTTTTGTAAAATGGACTATTCTTGGACAAATCAATTTTGAGAAAGAGTACCTGTGAAAGTTGAGCCAGAAATTTATTCCCTTAGTTGTTTAAGAAATTGATTGCCTTAAATATTATCTGTGCAAGGCATAACTAACCTTTATTGTCAAAGCCAAGATAGTGACACCCTTGGTGTGAGATGAGAGGAGGGGGAGGATATTACTAAAATCATTATGCTTTTATTCCTTGATCATCTTACTCTTTAAAAAAAAACATTATTATTTATTCATTTTTGCCTGCACTGGGTCTTCATTGCTGTATGCAGGCTTCCTCTTGTTGCAGAGCATAGGCTCTCAGGCACATTGGCTTCCATAGTTGCAGCACATGGGGTGAGCAGTTGTGCTTGGGTTTAGTTGCCCTGTGGCTATAGGATCTTCCAAGATCAGGGATCAAACCTGTCCTGTACATTGGTAGGCGGATTCTGAACCACTGGACCACCAGGGAAGTCCTGATCATCTCTTGAATCTGTTCATTGCTCTAAATCTGGGTTACTACACTGGACATGCTTCTAATTCTTGATGGCTATATTTAGCTCTGAATTACCCTCCCTAAATCCATCCTCTTTATTCCTCCAATCACCCTCTTTGTTTCCCCCAGTTAATGCCTATATTTCTTTTAGGAGCTTAATTTTCAAAACTTGAGGAAGGGGCTTCCCAGGTGGCTCAGTGGTAAAGAATCTGCCTGCCAATGCAGGAGGCACTGGTTCAATCCCCGGTCTGGGAAGCTCCCACATGCCTCGGAGCGGCTAAGCCCATGTGCCACAACTACTGAGCCTTTGCTCTAGAGCCCAAGGGCCACAGCTACTGAGCCCTACAGCCTGTGCTCGGCAACAAGAGCCACTGCAGTAAGTCTGCTCACTGCAGCTAGAGCATAGCCCTGCTCGCCACAGCTCAAGAAAAGCCTGAGCAGCAGCGAAGACCCAGCACAGCCAAAAGTAAACAAACTTGAGCAAGCATCCCTGACCCAGTATGTCAGATGCTTTTATTGTGTATTCCCACAAGACTATATATATCTTCCTTAATAAAGTTATTTTACATGCCTCTGTGTTACTGATGTTTCCCCAGAGTAAAATATAGGAAGGCTGGGAATGTACCATTCTTTACTCACAATTCTATTCCTAATGAGTAGCACACTTTAATCACATAGTAAACACTTGGAGGAAATTCTTATTGAATGACTGAATCAAGTGCTTTTTAAATTTTAAGAGGAAGGTGTTTGTAAACTGAAATCCTACATGAAATTTTGATAATATGAAGCAGATTGACAGATAAAAGTAGAACTTCTCTCATACGGAGAAGGAAGTCGGAGACACAGTGCTCTGTCAGCTTTAATCTCCCACTCCTTTTCTCTCATAGCCTCTGACACACCACCAGGGAAACTCAGAGCTCCATGATACATAATCTGAAGATAATTGCCCTACCACATGCAGTTCTCAAACTTTTGTTCTCAGGACTCCTTTACACATTTAAAACTTGAAGACCCCAAAAAGCTTTTTCATGTTTATTATAGCTATTTGTATTGGCCCTACTAGAAATGAAAATTGATAAATCACACAGAAATACATCAGTTCCTTAAACTTAGCAATAATAAGCCCATTGGTGGTGGTGTAGTCGTTCAGTCATGTCCGACTCTGTGTGACCCCATGAACTGAAGCCTGCCAGACTCCCATGGATGGCCATGGGATTCTCCAGGCAAGAATACTGGAGTGGGTTGCCATTTCCTTCTCCAGGGGATCTTCCCAACCCAGCAATCAAACCCAAGTCTCCTGCATTGCAGGCAGATTCCTTACCAACTGAGCTATGAGGAAAGCTGTAAGTCCATTTCATGTCAACATAATGTATTTTTATTAAAAAATTACTTCTAAATAAAAAATTAAAAGATTGGCATTGCTTTATATTTTTGTAAGTCTATAATATCCTCACTGACCTGTTATAGGGTCTTCCCTGGTGGCTCAGATGTAAAGAATCTGAGGGAGACCAGGGTTTGATCCCTGGGTCGGGAAGATCCCTTGGAGAATGAAATGGCTACCCACTCCAGTGTCCTTGCCTGGAGAATCCTATGGACAGAGGAACCTAGTGGGCTATCTAGTCCATGGGGTCTCAAAGAGTTGGACATGACTGAGAGACTAACACACACAATGACCTGTTATAATATCACATGTCCTACAGCCTCTGGAAAATTCAACCATATCCTTGTGAGAGAATGAGTGAAAAAAGAAAGGGACATATTAGTATTATCATAAAAATGTTTTTTACCTTCTGGATCCCTTGAAAAGTTCTCAGAAATGGTCAGCACATTTTGAGAACCATTGTCCTATATCCAAAGGCCCATTCTAGCTATTATTGATAGTTTGATTTCATTTCTAAGAGTCTCTTGAGTTTTTTGAAGATTATGATCATTACCAAAATACTAACAAAGAATGTGAAGTGAATAATAGGTAGAAAAATGTTGAATTCAAAATAAAGGGACTAGAATAGTGGTTTTTTATTAGAAAGCTGACTGTAACAGTAAACAAATCTATGTATGCACCAAGTTAAAAAACCCGTGGGACTTACTTGGTGGTCTAGTGATTAAGACTGTGTACTGCCAATGCAGAAGGTGGGGGTTCGATCCCTTGTCTGGGAACTAAGATGCCACATGCAGTGTAGTGTGTCATGGCCAAAACACCAAAAAAAAAAAAAACAAAAACCACTCTATTAAATGCATTGAAATCACTTGTTCATTTGTCTCCCCCACAAGCCTGTTGTGTTTTGGAAGAAAGAATTGGATTTTGATTTATCTTTGGTCTTTAGGATAATGTCTAACACAATAGGCACTACATCTTTGCTGAATGAATCAATTTAAGAATATAGAATGGACAACACATGCTATCACGTTTTCTAGGATTCACAACAAACAATTCAACAGCTTGTTTCAAGTGCACCTCATGCTCATATCAGAAATCTATCATCTATATGGTATTATAGCATGCCTTTATAAACTTCTAACCACTTTCCTTGACATGTTTCAAAATGGTCTTTGACTTCATGTACAGATTATATTACTTGAAGTAATTCTTATTTTTTAAAAAATTTTTTATTAAAGTATAATTGATTTACGACATGGTGTTTCAGGTGTATAGCAAAGTGATTCGGTTATATATATATATATAATTTTTTCAGTTCCTTTCCCATTACAGGTTATTACAAGATACCAAGTAGAGTTTCCTGTGCTATACACTAGATCCTTTTTGGTTATCTTTTTCTTTTTTTGGCCCTGCCCAGCGGTATACCGGTGGTTACCCAACCAGGAATCCAACCAGCAGCACCCTCTGCAGTGGAAACGCAGGGAGTCTTCACCACAGACCGCCAGGGAAGTCCCTGGTTATCTATTTTACATCTAGTTGTGTGTATATGTTAATCCCAAACTCTTAATACGTCCCTCCTTCCCCTTTCCTCTTCGGTTATCATAAGTTTGTTTTCTATGTCTGTGAGTCTATTCGTATTTTGTAAATTTCATTTGTA